TTTGTTATTAGAAATAATGTTTTCCATTTGCAAAATTCAGATAATGGATTGTATCTTAGCCATGCAATCTTTGAGAATGAATTAATAAACATTTAAAGTACTTGTTCTATGGGTTATATACAAATATTGCACAAGTCAGTCTAATATTGGTGAACTTTTGGAAGTTCACCAATATTGTTTTCTTCTCACACTTCCAAAAAACATCAAGGCAAGAGCAAATCAAAGGCAGATTTTTACTTCTAATTGGCTTTAATCCTCTAGGCAGAAATGTGTGTCTAAGTACTTGTTAGTTTTCTCTTAAAGCATTTGGCAGTTTCATTCCTAGACTTTTATGAAGATGATATGGAGCTCCATGCAGCAAAACCTCTGGATACAGCAAGTTGAAACAACATGGTAACACCTGGGTGTGATGAAAAGGAGCAAAGGGAGTTTTTGACCTTTAGGTGTTTCTTTTGTAGACCTTTTTTTCTTTTTTTACATTGTCACCTTGTAATGTTATTGCTCTGATAACAAAACCAATGTTATTCCATGTGCAAAGCTTCAGGTGTGAGGCTTGTGTTTGGCATCTTTCCTCAGCTCGAAGATATGAGGGTATAGTTTTGTCCTATGAGTGGTTGGGTTGGGAATGTGTGTGCAGACAGAATACCACATTTATAAAGACAGAAGATTTGTGTGTCTGTCACTTTTTCTTATTGATACTTGCAGCCTGGGCTGAGTTCACTACACTGGCCAATTGAATCAGGAGACTTGTGACTTCTTTTTTAATGCAACGAAGGTCAAGTGCAAACAAAACTAATCAGAGATTAAAAAGGCCTGTTTATTAACCACAATGGACTGGTGCAACACCTTCATTTTTGAAACCACAGCTCTGACTGATCTATCCATCACTTCATTATTCGTGAACAAAACACAGACACACTTGGACTCCTCAACTTGACCAGACTCAGAAAGGGGATTCCACTTTTTGCCATTTGACTTCAGCCTCAGAGGATCCTTAAGCTGGCAACCCTTCCTGTTGACCTGAAACTACTTGAACAGCAGAACTGAATTTACTTGCTCCTCTTCTTCACACACACACTTTCTCCTCTATCTCCTCATTAATCTCCAATATTTGTTTCCCAATGTTTCCACTGATAAGGGCAAGCTGGCTGCAGTGTGTTTGTGCATATATATATTTGCATACAAATCTATAAAACCTATGTATGCACATCATAAAGGTTTTTGTGTACTTGTAATAGTGTGGTTATTTGCTTTGTTTGTACACACAGATGCCCTTTAGTGCTAAGACTAATGAGGGATTTGTCCATTTTATTTTGTTTTCCCATCATGCCCCCTCCATATTCCCCATTTTCTCCCGACAGACTACGATACTGATCAGCACCTTCCCGATAAAGCGACAGCACTGACTGCGTTGCATGTTTATGAATTGCTAATGGAGCCATTTATCATGCCGTACGACACGATTTACCATATTGAAAGTCACGCTTTGCAGTTTTACATTTAGAAGGTGAAAATTTAAGCGCAATCGACTGTATCAAGTGTCATTTTAATTTATGGGAGATTAATGCGGCGGCTGTGCTCTCCTCCCTCGCACTCATCAGGAGTTACAACTAATGCCTGCATAATCACCATTTTTACATTTAACTTCAGCTGCACTCTGTGTTGCTGAAGGCAGTACATTTTCTTCTGCTGTTCGTAGAACATTAGAGGAATAACTGTTGTTCGATGTTGGCTTAATGATGATTTAGTTCACTTTGGGAACTTTTCAAGAACCAGTAAATCAAAAAAAATTCAAACAAAGAGAAGTGAGAGATTAAGCTCATGATTTTCCACTTCATCGCATGGTTAAGATAAAGTCTGGAGAGCTGATCTCATGCTCAGAGAGTTAAGGTCAGAGAGATTCAAAAGAGGACAAGATCCCATTGTACCTTACATTTATCTTTTGCACTGTGAAATGTTTTACAATGGCTTCAGTATTTAAAGGCTTAAGGTCAGCTGAATTGTTTTTTTTTCCAACCATGTGAAAACACCCTTTTCCTATTGAGATTTGGTAAAATCAAAGCCAATAATGATACAAAATCTTATAAGACAAATAACAGCTTCTTATCCCTAAAATAAAATTATCCATGAGATGGAAACACATCATTGAGGTCAGTTTATGTATGGCACCATGGCAATAAACATTAAACTAAACATGCAGCATTTTAAGAAAAATAAACTCAATGTATTGAAAGACCAATTAATCTAAGAGCTGTGTGTTTGGACTGAGGGAGGAAACTGGAGAACTCGCAGAAATCCCAACATGCAAGGTTAGAAACTCAATGCAGAAACACAGGATGGGATTCCAGAACCTTCTTGCTGCAACTGGGCAACGTTGCTGTCAACTGTGACATCATGGAGCCTGAAAGGCAAATAACTTTCAACAAATTTCGTTAAGTCACTTAGAACAGGATATGGCTAATTCTTTCTTCACAAATGCTTGATACGTAACCTTTATCATTTTAGGAAAACATGAAACAATCCATCTGTGCTGGTGGGCCAAGACTGTATCATTCTTGGATTTTCTGCAGTCACAGGCTGCAGAAAATCCTTCAGCGGGTCACAAATGGTCCGCAGGCTGCACTTCGGACACCTCTGTGTTAGGCTGTCATCACAGGAAATGGGTCAGTACAGGAAGTTATTAATAGTCCACATCGTAGTAGTGCGTGCTAATTCTCTCAGTGCAGCAAGAGCAAGAAGAAACTCAAACTGCACTTCAGCTGACTGTTAGTGTAATTTTGTTGAAATGTTTGTTTTTATTTTATTTTGTTGTCGGGTTTTGAATATCTGTCCAGCAGTGTTTGTGTGGATGTTCTGTGTCATTCACAGAAAGCTTGTCCCCTTCATGTGGGCAGAACCAAACATGGATGTTTGAGTTTACTATTAGAGAGCACCTCATGGATTTTGGTTTGAAATCTTATTAGCATTTACTCACTGAAAGGAAGAAGTTAATTTTAGTTTCTTTTAATTCAATCAATTAGAACTGAACACTTAGCTATGTGACAAGTAAAGAAAATCTAATAAACACTATTATAAGTAATGGAAATCAAAGTTATTCAGGTTGTGAATGACTTTAATTCTAAAATTCAAATCGTTCTCTGGTTCCTCTTTGTGCACTTAATGGAAAATTCTGCAGCCCAGCTGTTAGTGTCACAGGTGCATTGTAATGTCTTAGATGCATTTAATTCATTTAGTTAAAAATAAACTTATAAGAAAGCCTGCTTCTGGCTTTTTACCTGCAAAGCTTTCTTTGCATAAAGGAGAAAAACAACATTAAAGCACTGTGGCCAACATTCTCAACGATTCTTCTTGTTTCATATTCAGTATTAAAGTCACAGATTGTTTTGGTTCAGAAGTTTGTCCTCCGGCTTTGTCCTGGTTTGCTAAAGTTTTATTATAGCAAGTTAAGGCATAGCTTATATCTTAATGCTTTTTATGTATCAGAAATAAATGTACATTTCAGAGGTGTATTAAGTGGATTACTGTCACATATTTTGTTAATCTTAAAAAAGTCAGAAATCCAAAATATGTCCTCGATTTGATCAAGAAATGTGTCCAAGATCTCATTCACAATTGAGCAAGTAAATTGTAATGGCCATATGTGGAAGAATTAACAATTATAATTTCATCCACCTGTCAAAAAATAAATCAAAGGTCTTAATTTTAGAAAAGTAATGTTTTAAAGTGTCTGACTTTAGAGCAAAACACAATGCCACTATGTTTTGATTTGAGTTAACACAAGTACAATTCTTCAAAGTATGCATGACAAATGCAACATTAACTATTATTCCCCGTGTTAGGATACTTTATTATATCCATTCTTTTAACTAAATAAAAGTTTGCAACTGTCACTTTAACTTACCTGACAGTCAGTTATTAAAAAAAAGGTTTTAAAAGTTTAAACATGTTTTGTCAGCCGCTGTCCTGATACCAACAAAAACAACCATAAACCTCAGCCACAATGAAACCGCTCCAGTCTCACAGATCTCCAAACTGTGAATAATCTAGTCACTGGAAGGCCGAAGGAGGTTGAGAGGTTTTCAGGTGAAATCCGATATATTTTTATGCTCTTGTCAAAGAGAAACTATGGCAAAAAAATTATATTTTAGAGCTTAAGTTTGAATTCACAGTAATCAAAAAAAAGTTTGGATTCTCTATGCATGGTTTCCTTTTTCAGATTGATGACCAAAGTAATGTGCCAGGTTACAATTACTGCACCGGTTGTGGGGCTCAGCAGGGTGCAATTCTTAAACAGAATATCTCCTCACTGTATTATCTTATGTGGCTGAAAAGGAAATGAATATAAAGGTTTTTGCTAAAACTGACGGTGGATGACCAGAAACCTCCCAAACCGAGGTCATAGAGGTCCTGGAGACAGTAGCAAATCAAAATTAGGCGTGAAGGCGGGCCTTGGACTTGATAGGTCACATCATGAAGGTTCAGGTCCCACATCGGGCGAGATTCTGGAGTTTGCATGGTTTTCACATAAACAATATTGATTTGTTCAGGTACTAGAATTAAGCATGTAAGGTTGTGAATGAATGGATATATTTTAATGAGTTAAATTTTAGGCTTATTTTGTCTGCAATCAGAAGAGCAAATGGGAATACAGCAACACAAAATAGGGTTTAGATGACTTTTTCTTTTTTTCCAATATTGTTCTTCAATGTGCTATTTAAAGTTAACTGTTAAAAAGTTGAAGTTTCCTAATTGCAGCACCAGTGAAGCAGGTACAGCCAGTTTCTAAAATGTCAGGTGCAGACTGTATGACAACTCAATCTAAATTGTTAATTTAGGACAATTTATATGAAAACTTAGCTCCTAGCCTGCGTACTTTGGTTGTTCATAACCCCACGCTCAATTAAATACAAATTAAATACATTTTTCTTAATATATTTTTCTCCTGACATCTCCCACTGTGTTGCATTCTGTCTCTAATCAAATTAATCTCTGTTTTCCAGCTTAGCAGCATCAAAAGAAGCTGCGGCGAGGAAAGCTGCCTCCCCGATGCCGCCGTCGGAGTTTCTGGACAAACTCATGGGGAAAGTCTCGGGGTACGACGCCAGAATTCGACCAAATTTTAAAGGTAGGATTTTGCCACCAAGACTCAGTCGGATAAGGCAGGAATGTAGCCAAAAATTCCTCTAAAAATTTCTTCTTGCTTCTGCATCTATTAACATCTCCAAATGCATTTTTAGCAAAGATTATCTCCGGTGGAAGGTTTGTATTTTTTTTTTTTTCTTTACCAAAAAGTGGGACAAACAGTTTTTTCATCACTGTTAAAATTCTGTTCTCTGTTTAATGTTTTTGGTTTTAAATCTCTTGATCTCTTTTGTTTGCCCTTTGCAGTGTGGAACAAAGGTAATTCTGCACATTGCCCAAATTTCTATAGAAATAAACAAGTCAGACCTTAAACTAATTTTCCTTGCACATTCTTGAGCATAAATCCCTGTAAATGCACTTTGAGCCCCACGATAGTGGCAAAACAGCATTTCCATCAACATATTTTAGATCTAAGCTGTCATGATGCTAGTTGGCTACATTCCTTGGTATCCACACAGTATCCTGAGTGCTTGTTTTGGTGGTCAAGGTAATGTACCTCCTTCCTGCCAGCGTGCTGCTGAATATGATCTCATGTTGAGGATGCTGCTGATGATAATATAAAATTTAGTGACCTCTCCCTGAATGTTAGTCCCCATAAAGACACATGTCAGAGGTTTCTTTGATCAACGCTTTCACATCAGAAACTGTCTGAACATTGCACAGGGAGGGAGACCTCCCTGTTCAATAAAGCATTTATTTAGTGTGATTAATGTGTGCAAAAAGATTCCAGAGCATCGTGCAGACATCGATTCAAACGTCATTTTAGAGCAACATAGTTGACGTTCATGAGGTGAATGTGAATGTTTTCTCTTTTTTTGTCAGATAATTTGAATGTTTGTATTAGCCATATATTATTTATTTCAATACATATCATTGTGGCATTTTTTTCTTCTCATGATTATACGCTGGAGGTACTTGTACTTTGGCCTTCAACAGCCTAATAATCCTAAATATGTTTTGATCTGAAGGAATCTAGGTTCGCCCATCAGAATCAAGTGTCTATGTTAAAAGCTAACCCCGTTTGGTACTGAATGACCTTCTCTGCAGGAATGGTCCGAGTTGAATGTAATTTGGGAACATCCAAACAAGCGACAGGTTATCTCTCTGGTTACAGTTCAAGAAGCTAGAACATCAAAGGACTTCAGTGGTTGCATAACAAGTGATGATGTTATCTGTAATTACAGATTTGTCCAGCAGTCAAAACAGTAAGTGAAGGTCAGAAGGGTTTTGGGGCTGACCTGAGGTATTTACATTTTCCTGGCAAACCTTCTACAACATACTGTAGTTGTTACATGTGCATCAATGTCTGTCCAAAATGGAGAAAACCAGTTAAAGTCGGTACTTTGCTGGTATTTCCTCTGTATGTTAGACATTTCTTCCTCTATTTTCAATTCTTGTTTAGAAGAACTAACATTACTCAAGAAAAAAATTGCACTAGTACGGAACTAAAACTGGAGCACACATATAGTGACTTAAGGGCTATGTGTGTGCTCCATTCTTATTCTTTAGTGCTCAGAATGAGGAGGAAAGAGTGAAATCAGGTTTCCTCATCAAGCCCTAAAGCTCCACATTTTGAATGTATGATTATTCCTTCAATGCTTCTGAATTTCCCTTCTTTTCTAATGCAGTGAAATAAAATTTTTCTAATATTTAGTACAGTGGGGAAGGTAACACACAGGATTGTGCGGTCGGGAACCTCAGCTTACGTTAAGAAATGCTGCTGCAGAGCTTTATTTTCCCTCTCCGTTGAGCCCATTATGTTATAACCCATTATATGGTGATCTTTCTAAGAGAGATATCTCAGCTAATGCGAGACAGAATTGAGAGGGGCGGAGGAGTTTTGGCGTGACTAAGTGTCTGTTATTAAACCTGCTGTGGCTGCACAACAGCCGAACCGACTCCCAATATGCAGAAAATTCATTCAGGTGTGTGTCAGGGAGTAGGTCTATAAAACCATCTTTAATTCTTTCACTTCTTACTGTCAATAATTTGCCAAAGTCACTGCTGCAACAACGTATTGTACAACAGGGCAGAAAGCAAGCCTAAATTCAGATTTATAGCTTTAATGATTTTATTTTTCTCATATTATCTAATATAAAGTTTATAACAAATGGACATGATCGGGTGAAATGCTATGTGTGCTCAGAATAACAAATATTTTCCATGAAATGATGAAAATGACTTTTATATGCAGCTTTTCAGAAAATTGAGTCTGGAGCTGCTAATAGACAGAGTCTGATGGGAAAATCTGTCATGGATGTCAGAGAGGAAGATGAGCGTAAACTCTGTGACTCATTAATTTGTGTCAGTTTTCTGTTGTGTTTGTGTGCCACTCCCTGCACAGCACACGACTCTGTGAATGGAATAGTGCGATTGCTGTCCTAAATATTTCCCAGGCGCTGACTGCAGTAATAATAATCTTCCATATTTTTATATATTTTTTATGGCGAAATGAAAATGTTATCCCCCAAAACATGGGAATGCTTAAACAAATAAACAACATGTGTGCATCGAACATATTAGGAAATTCATAGGAGATTTTCAATGTTCAGTTGTTTTTAAGGATTTGTTCTCTCAGTGCTCATTTCAGTCTATTCAATTTCTCTCTTAGTAGGTATGCGGGTTTGTAATTTCATTCATCTACCTTTTTTATTCCTGTTAACACATCCAGATAGTTAGTTTGTGTAAACCTAACAACACTCTAAAACAGAGTCATCCCAGTGATAAAACACACTGTGGTTTGAACAGGAATATTCAGACCTCTAATGTGGAGAAACCAAACATTAGCTACACAAACAGATGCACCAGCACAGCAACACAATCTACTTAGGGGTGCATTTACATCTCAAGGACACTGGGCACTTTTTTAAAAGACAGCAACGTGTCTGTTTTGAACAATGAAAGACAATTGGTTTGAGGGAGGAATGAGGCAATCTATCTTAAACATTAAAATAAAAAAACACTCCTCAGATGTCATCTTTCTAAGACTTTCTCTGCAGTCCTATTAGTGTTATTGTCCTGACCGCAGCTTATAGGCCTGTTGCTTCCAACTATGATTAGAAATGAAGATTCATTCTGGATGACAGGGGAAAAGTCTTCATGAAACCTGAGGAATCCTGGTTCAAGCACCGAGGAACGTATCCAGGGCATATTGTTGTATTTTCAATCCATCAAACTCTTGACTACTTTTGTGAAATCATATTGTGTGTGTGAGAGAAGAGTTCTACGATTTTATGACAAAAGAAAAATGTCATTGTGCTAACTGTAAAACCCTTTTCTCTGTAGGATTTCCTCAGAGAAGGTAGATTTCCAAAAGGCTGAAAACATTTACAAATCCATCAGCTTTTAAGGAAAAACAGTAGCTAAAAGCTCAAAACACCAAATGGAGAAACTGTGCTGCAAAATATCAAACCTTCCTGTTACCTGTTTTAAGTCTTGCTCTTTTTCAATCTTTTGCAGCCTGAAACAACATCTGACGTGGTAGAAAATGCAGTTTCAGTTTTAAATACGTCTTATATCTACAGTATGTTCTTCTGCTGGCTTCATTTTTAAAACCTTACAGTGAAAGTAGTTGACACTGTGTCTTTATTAATCAAAAAAATGTCCAACACGAGTTTGAAATTCTAGTCCTCATGAGCTTTTAGATGCACTTTAAGTTCAGTTGATGTATTTTTCTGTGTAAAGAAAAGCACTTTACTGCTGAAAGTATTAACGCCTTAATCAAGTTTAAGAATCTCAAATAATTTGAGTTCTCATTTTGCCTTAATATCATTTATCATTTATCATATCATTTATTTTCCTTGTAAGCTGTAAGGAAATTTGATAGAAGGTATTTGCTCATTAATTTTTCCAAACTTTTTATTCAATTTATTCAAAACCAGATTTAATTTGACTTTGAACTTTGAGTTTATGATTTCTTGTCTAGAGCACATATGTCAAACCCCAGTCCTCAAAAAGTGGAGACTTTTAGATATGTATCTGCTTCAACACACCTGAATCAAATATTTTGGTCTTTAGCTGGATTCTGGAGAACTTGCTGCCTACTGAGGAGGAATTTCAGTATTTGATTCAGGTGTATTGGACCAGGGACACATCAAAGAGTTGCAGGACATCCCTGATCTGGAGCATTAAAAGTAACACTCATCTATTCACTGATCTCATTAGTGGGTTGCCTGTAGATCCAAGCTCAATATCTACTTAAGTGAATCCCAACCGAAGGGAGAGCTGGAGACCTCATGGGGGAATAAATCAGACTTGTGTGCACTGTCTAGTGCTATTGGTGGCTCCTTTTTGATTTAGGGGCTTTAAACAGGTGTTTAGTTCACTTTTAACTTGGGTCAGCTCTGACGTTTGCACAAATCTAAATCAAAAGCCTATCTCTCCCATTTTTACCTGAAACTGGTGAATTTTATTTAACTTTGAGAAAAGGTCTAAGGTGGAGACTTTACTTTTTAATCTCTCCTGGAAGCTGACTTTTATCTGAAAGAAAGCAAATCCTTAAGTTTCCTAAGTTTCTTGCAGAACAATGTGGCTGCCTCCTATTGGTTCACATAACACTTGCATTTTTTTTTTATTTTATTTTATTTTATTTTGTGTCTCGCAAGGAATCACCAGGCTTAGTCATTAAGGTATTATAGCACGAGTCAGAAAAAGTCTAATTTAATTTGATAGTTAGTGCTCAGCAGGGGATGTTGTTTTCTTGTTCAAATATACATGTATATTATGTCTATTATCAATTCTGCAATTTTAAATCTACATGCAGAAATCACACATTTATTTCCTAAGTGCTTCTTCCAGCCTACACGGTTTCCCTTCTGGTGAAATTAGCACCAGCCGATTTATTTTTTCTACACAGCAACAGCAGAATTAAGGCAGTGAAGGAACTGAGAGGAAAGAAAGGAGATTTGCCCAAAGCTACTAATATAGTACCAGCATGAGAGGAAATTACAGTGATCATGACTCGGGGCGTCCACTGTGCGAGCAGAAAGCTTCCGATTGATTTAGCAGGTTCTTCTGTTGGAGTACGGAGAGGAAACACTGCTGACACATTCAGGACAAGCCATTTATAATCCATGAATTCATCCATCCTTTCATTCTCTCTCTGCCCCTCCTTTGTCATTCTTATAATAGTATGCTCCCCTCCTCGTTTTCTACTCCCATCCTTCATTCATGTTTGGAAATTCTTCGTTTTCCATAAACCACAGGCACTTTTTTTGTTCTTTTCTCCTGTTTCTTGTATTTGTCTCTTTTTGCACTTA